GTTCCTGCCGAATGCCAATCAAAAGTGCCCTCGTTCTTTTGTAACGTTTCCACAATAGTCTATTCTTAGAATGCATGCATGTTCAATATGAACATGTAAAAGAAGTTGAATCCCCCCCCCCCCCCCCCCCCTCTCTCTCTCTCAAATTTTAGTTTTGTTGTCCTTATATTTTATTCGCATACATGATAATACACTGTAAACAAAATAAATACTTTAAAAAAAAATCGATAGGCGTTGGTCTTGATTGCCAATGCATTATATTCATGTTAATAAATGATTGCTTCAAATGAGTTATTATTTGATTCTATAGTTTCTGCACATTTATGCATAAAATCAAGTTATTTATAAATTGAGGTAATATGTTTAACGATTTTTTGGATGATAAATATAGGAAACAGTAAGCTTATTCATTTGGGTTTCACATTCAGTGGTATTTTATAGATCTTTGAGTCGTTTTAAACAATGGTTTCAACATTGAAAGGCTATGGTTAAGCTTTCAATTTTTTTTTCTTAAAAATAAAATAAAACATATTCTTTGTGAATATTTTTAAACCTATTGTTAAAAACACCACAAAACTAGTCCCAAGTAAAGAACATAACAAGTATGTGTGGCAGTTGGCAGTAAGCATGCAGTTGGCTGTCGTATATGGCATTCCATACCAATGAAGCAGAGAATTTTTTTTTACAAAAAAAAGCAAAAACAAAAACAAATAAAAACGAGAATTGCAGGTTGTCCAAACTTCGAAAATCCTATTTCGTGTGTGTGTGTGTGTGTGCGTGTGTGAGTGTGTGTGTGTGTGTGTGTGTGTGTGTGTGTGTGTGAGGGTGTGTGTGTATGTGTGTGTGTGTGTGTGTGTGGGGGGGGGGGGTAGTGGACAACTTTTTCTAAGCCAACTTACATGTACTATCACTTCCAATTTTTTCCTACAATTCTTGATAATACTATACTATGGTAAAAGTGTGTGTGTGTGGGGGGGGGGGGGCATAGCAAAAAGAAATGGCATTTTTCCATTTTATTTCCATTCATTCAGCATTTTATTTCCATTTTTCATTTCAAAACCATTTTTCCTACATTTCTCTATCGTTCAATTTTCGAAAGCCATTTTTTCAGCACCATTTAAAAACCATTTCTGTTAGAAAATGCTTTATAAATGGTGAACATGCAACATTTTCTTTCCATTTATTTGAGTAAATGGAAAAGAAATACCAGTTTGGTGATCCAACTTGCTTGAGTGGACCATTTTTCTCCCATTTATTTTCTGAGAAATGGAGAATTGAAAAAAATGTTAGCTTTAGGTAGAATTTGTTGGTGGTTAATTGATGCCATATGTGCCAGGTTTTTATAATGGGGCACTGGATATGATTTCCTCCCATGCTCTTTAGTGACCTCCTTTTCCGTAAGTTTGAATATTGGACAAGAGCACTTTGACCTAGCTGGTAGTGAGTTTAGATGGCTGAAGTTATTCTTCAAGGAGTATTTAGGTTTTTAGTGATTTTTGATGCTTACAAAACTGTACATTGATGGTCAAAGCAGAAAAAAGAATTACTAATTTAACTTCTTGGAGGATGATAATTATGTGACAGTTTTTCATGTTTCCAACATTTGGGAAGTATAGACAGAAGAAATGCAGCACATTTTCCATACACAGAAAGGACCTTATTATTTTTTTTGAGTGGTAAGTATAAATATCAGTGCATATTTTTATCAATGTCAGTTACAGAAAAATGTTCTTTTTCCAAAGAAAACACATAAGGAATGCCCATTAAACATGCTGATGCAATAATCTCTAAATCAATTAATTAATCTTGTTTACAATTGGTCAGACTGAGGGAACTTGGATTTCTACTTTTGTAAATTCTCATTGATTGAACTTCAATTGCAAATTTTTGAAATAACTATATTTTTGCATTTCTTTTTATTTTTAGAGTACTGGTCGCTTTTAGACATGTACGTTGGTGCACCAAAATGGACATGCAGGATTCAAAATATAATTTTTTTAATGAAAACCGTGCTTATATTTGAAAAATTGAGCAAGTGACCTCGTTTTGTGACTGCATGACTCTACAACTAATAAAAGTGCATGCTTATTCTTTGCATATGGATTAATTAAGGACCCAGCTAAATTTTCCATTTTTCAATTATAGATAAAATGTGTTAAAAATGGATATTAATTAATTAAATGGCTAAAACAAAAACCATTTATTTCTCATTTTTTATCTCATTTGCATAAATGGTTTTGGAATGGTTAATTTGCATGTTACAGGGCCCAAAAAAATGGAGTTTGAATGGGGTTTGAATGGAGTTTGAATGGGGTTTGAATGGAGAATGGAGATAAAATGAAAAATGGTTTTTAAATGGTCATTCTTTCTGTTGAGAATTCTTGAAAGATTTGACAAAATAAATGGCTTCTGAATGGTCTTTAAATGGTCAGAAAAGAAATGGTTTTTAAATGGTTTTCTAAATGGATTTCATTTTGGTAAGGGGGGGGGGGCAACCATGCTTTCAATGAAATTTACTATAGTAAAAGAAATGTTGGGAAAAAGTGGGGGGGGGGGGGGGCAACCCCCACCCCCTGTTGCTATGTCTGCTGATAGATTGTCTGCTTTCCAACCCAGTTTCAAGAAAAGTTCTAAAATATTAAAAAAACAAACAAAAAAAAAAAACTAGAGGTTCTGTGAGTAATGTAATGAGCTCACTAAATGATATCCCCATGTGTTGCTTATTGTTTTACGGTAATGTGTAAAGAGGAATAACTCGTCCTACGAAATGATATCCAAAAGCCAAAAGCTAAAACGAGCCAATTTCTGATTTAGGCCAAGATTTCTTGAATGGCGTTTTTATATAGTACGATTGATATTAAAGCCATATATGGCGTAACTGATCAAAAAAATATATTTTTGAAAAATACAAAATTAAGTGAAGAAATACAGTTAATACATCTAAATTAAAACTTTTCATACAATACTGAACACGGAGAACACCTCGTTTCAACTATCGATACGATTTTATCTTCTCTGTAATGTGTTATTTAAATCTTTTGTATTTTCTTCCGAGTCGGAGAAAATTCCGAGAATCCAAATTAAATTGTGATATCTTTATAACGCAATTGACTTAGATTTTGCAATTTAGGGAAAAGTCCTATCTTTATATAAAGTAATGATACAAAGAATAAGTTCTTATAATTTTAGTCTAATAATTTTCATTGTACATACGCCATATATGGCTTTAACCAATCATCATAGATTTGAATAACATCCATAATTTCCATGTTTGCAGGTGATAGTTCTTTTTTCAGTTATCATTAAAGATGTCGCCATATGATATCAACATGTCAGATCATTGAATGTGAGTTATTCTAAGTCACCAGGAAGCGCATACAGTAATTTTTTTTTTTTTGCAGATCAATTGAACAGTATGGACCTAACAAAAGAAATGGACAGACTACACAGAGACAGGGCCATTGGTCCACCAAAACACAAGAAACAGGTTTGTCCTAATCTCTCTGTATACCCTGGAACAGAAATAACTTCATCCACTTTGAATGTTTATACATGTAATGCTGTTAGCAATTGTGATGATCAGAGATCACAGTGTTATGAGTCATTGACTTCATTCTTTCACGACCACTGCCAATCTGTATTCAGTCGATCTTTCCATGCTTTCCAGGTGTCTGACTTGTACACGGAGATCCAGATGACATATTCTTAACTGACTTAGAAGTAGCAGCCTCTTCTGTCTGGTCACACAACAGCCCCTGGAGAAAGCCGACACCTTGAGGCTGATTCAGCACCTAAGGGTAGACAATTCTGAGTGCAGATGACACCCTGGACCCCGTGAGTCTGTGTCTGTTAATGGCCCTCCTGTACTGTTTTGATGTCAGTCTGTTGGAACATGAAGATGGAAGAGGTTAGTAATTTGATAATTTACTTTTCATATTTCACAAAGCACATTTGTAAGGAATGTTATATGTAATATCCATTAAGTTGAAGAATTGTGAAAATTTTAATTGTATAAACATAAAATTTCTGTGCTCTGATTTAGCAAGAGTTGATCTAATAAGAATGAATAGAAAGGTTAAAGTTGATGACCTTTGACATTTACTTAGGTCCTGCAGCATCTACCAATGATGACAGACTCGACCTACATACCTGACATACACCAGGATCTCATGTCTAAGCGAGTCTGGACCAACCCTGGACAGAAGAGCGTGGTGCTGCTGGCCTGGGGGGTGACCCTCAGACAACTCAACCAGTATCAGACCCCCTAAGATAAAATATCTAATCTTATCTAAAGAGGGAACCCCCACGCTCCCCAGGAACAGTATAATATTAAATACATAAATTCTTTATGGTATCAATCTTAGAGTTGATGAGAATATGTGACATGTCGGTGCATGTAAGTCAATGATGATAGATCGTGAATAAATTTAATATATGGCCAGACAAGATAATTATGATGCTTTAAGCAGAAAATAAACTGGAAACTCATTTTGGGCCTTGATTGATAGCTGTAAGATTATTCACTCTAACTTGATCTCCATGAATTTGATTTATATTTCTAGCAGGGAATGGAATTTCTGAAGAAGATGATTCAGGTAAATGTCATTAACGAAGCCCTGCATTGGAAGCTAACATGATCCACTTCCTGTAACTGCATGGCCATTGTACCCGTACATGATTTCCATAAAGAGGTTGGTCTTTTAATTGGTGCATATTTCAAGTTGACATCAAAATTTAATTTAGTTAATTTTAATTTAAGCAATGCAAACAAGAATTTGTTTGACAAATCATTATTATAGTTTAACTCTTCCGAATGGATTCTTAATAACACTATTAACAGCTAGGGTAGGGACTGTTATTCATATTATAATAAACCAGCATAACATTTGAGTTTTTTTGTCTTGTAGGAATATTATCTAAAGAAAGTCCATGGGCTGGTAACAGACTTCATTTTTCACATGCCATTGAAGGTACTTATGTGATACCTAAACAAATTGTTAATGCATTTGATCACTGTGAAAAAAGGTGCCAATTTTGCATGGCTATATAACTTTATTTGAAATGAAAATATTCAACATCTCAGAAAGGTTATTATTGTAATATTGATTAATGTAAAAGATTTTGAAAAAAATATTCTTCGTGTAATATTTAAGAGAGAAAATGTTTAGAAAGTGACAAAAATATACATAATTGAAAAGTTTTGCAGGAAACTTTATTGTGGATGTTTTACAGGTGAAAGAGCTAGCTTCATACAAGAGGAGATGAGGCGTCGAGAATTGCGGTATCCCAGAGTTCCCTAGAACCTCCCACGTCACCCAGTCATGGCTTCCAGTACCTACTGAGACTGGTGCGTAACTGTCGCTTGTGTTAACTGCTTATATCAACATGATTAAGGTTTACTGACCCTCTGACAAGAGAGATAACTCCCACGTCACCCAGTCACAGCTTCCAGTACCTACTGAAACTGGTACGTAACTGTCGCTAGTGTTAACTGCTTATATCAACATGATTAAGGTTTACTGACCCTCTGACAAGAGAGATAACTCCCAGATCACCCAGGCACGTCTTCCAGTACCTACTTTGACTTGTACGTAACTGTCGCTAGTGTTTATTACTATCTTATATTATTATGTATCTAGGGTGGGGGGGAGATGGGTACATAATAGCCACTTAAGTGTTTACTGCTTATATCAATGTATCTTGGGTAGGGGGATTGGTTCGTAACTGTCCCTAGTGTTTACTGCTTATATCAACATAAGTAAAGCTTATTAACCTTCTGACAAGAGGGATAACTTTTGCTGCAATGTATAAAAATAGTTCCCTTTAGAAATAGTTCATGAGGCAATTTTTTTACAATTTTGAAATTTAAATTCAAAATTGATTATATTGTTAACATTTCAATTTTATCTTACATTTCTTATGCAAAATCATCATGAAATCTATTATCTACATGTATATTAGTGATCTGTGCTGTGTAAAATCATTAAAATTTATTTTTGGTTGTAAAACATCTTTTGATTGGATGAAATATTTAGTTTATATTGTATAAGTTAAGTTGCCCATATAGCAATGAGCTAGTACATCAAAAATGTTTAAATCAGCCTGAAGTTACTTTAAAAGTATGCTCAATTTGAAGCCATTTTTGAAGGAAAACTTCTAAAGTTTGGTAAAGCGTTAACTGCCCAAATTTATGTAACATTGTATAACATAAGTTGAAATAAACTTCATTTCTCAAATATCAAAATCTTACTATCAAGTGGTTTTACATTACAGGTGTTGCTGTATAAGTAATACTTTAAGTATTAAGTAATACTTTAATATCCAAGATAGAATCTATATTATATCACTTTTGATAACTCAGAATAAAGACATTCTGTATAGGGTTTGTACATGTATTATAAACTGTATTCAGTAATGAATAATTTTGATTTCCTGAAACAAAAGGAAGTAAAAGACACTTTTTGAAGCTAATCAAAAGTTGAAGCCTGCATAAAGTGCATTTTACAACTCAACACACAAAACTTTGACTTGTGTTACAGAATGGGAACCAGCAGTGGCAGTTGGCGGTGGTGTTGTTTGGTCTGGTAACCTGTAGTATCCCCTTCGACCGTATAGCTGAGATCTTCAGGGTGCTGGCAGCGTTCGCTAAGACGCCGGACGTGGCAGCCAGCCTGTGGCATACACTGGAAGCCTCACAGGTAACCACTGAAATACTGGGGCCCAATTTACAAAAGGACTTACGACTTAAGACAAAGTTTAATTATTCATATAACTTTTAATTAACATTTTATCGAAAATTATTTTAAACTTTTTAAATAGAATGTGGTAACTTAGATATTTTTATACAGACAATTTCAAAGAGAAATATTAATTTTGCAAAATTTTACAATAATCTCAAGTTTTTGGTCTTAGTCGTAAGTTCTCTTGTAAAACGGGTCCCTGCTCTTTACTTTATCTTAACGGATATTCATTGTGTTTTTGCATTGACATGCACCTTTCCTCTTGCCTTCCCTATATTGTACTTTACAACATGTATGTGGGTTTACTGGATTGATCTGTTTACTTTGCTTTAAAGATTCTCAATACAGTCAGTTCAGAGCAGCAGTTCCTCTCAGAGAGGAATCCAGGTACTAAATGTTTGTTTTCTCAGGTTCAACTTTGTTCTTTTTTTCTCTTACACCCTAAGGAGAGCAGAACTTAGATTTGCTGTACACTTGACATTCAGGTATCTGGACACCAGATATCCGGATGCTTCAGTATCCGGACGATTACATCGGAACAGATTTTAATACGCCCGTCTTAAGACAGGACGTATTATGATATAGGCTTCATGTCCGTCCGTCTGTCCAGCTGTTCGTCTGTCCATTTGTGTCCGGCTCATAACTTCAATACTATTAGGCCCAGGATTATCAAACTTTGTCAACTTATACTTCTTGGGTAAATGGCTATCAAACTTGGCAAAAGTATACATCTTAGGTAGAAGGTGTGTCGCGATTTATTTCAAAGTCACTGTGACCTTTAGTGAAATTTGTTTAACTGGTAATTCAGATATCCGGACACTTCACATATGTGGACAAATTGACTAGGAACCAAAACGTCCGGTGACATAACACTCCAGGGCTTTCCTGTCACCTCAGGGCAAATATTCTGGTATGTCACCCTCGAAGCCATGTGATATATGTATAATATATGCAAATCTCATGCTTTTAAGAGTTATCTACCTTTTAAGAGTTATCTACCTTTGATGTCTGTTTTTTCCCTGTAGGTGGAGCTGGAGGAGGTGGAGACCCGAGCGGAGGTATTTCCCAAGACGCTAGCTTCCTGTCCTTTCTGGACTCCCTCACTGACATTCCTGTCCCCCAGGGCATCCCCAGGATTTCAACCCTACCTAGAGTTTGTCAAGGATCATGTGTTTGAGAAGTTTTACGTCAGAAGTTACAAGAATACATCAGAAAAGGTTTGATATAAGATTTTCTAAAATGTTTTTTCAATCTTGTTGATAAATACATACACTGTTAAGTACTACAAAGTACAATCAAGTAAAAAAAAAATTACATATGAAAATGAACAATACACAGACAAAAAAGGTACACTGTGTAGAAAGAGATTGAAACAATAAAATTTTTTTTATTAGCTCTACTGGTCACAGACCAGAAGAGCTTATACGATAGTACATGTATTGGTCTTTTCGTCTAGCTGTCTGTCTGTCGGTAAACAATTTTTAAAACGCTACTCCTCCTACAGTTTTGGTCTGATTTTGATATAACTTGGCATACAAGTAGACTACACTTGGATACATAAAATAAAGCATCATGGTTTTTTATTTCGATGAACAGTGTTGCCATTGTTACTAAAAATGGAAACGTCTTTTGTTATATCCTTTGTTATAAGTACAAACCAGTAGAGCTTCAGTTTTGACAGAGACTTCTAGTTTTAAAATTTTATCTGTCATTTGCATTGATATTAATTGAAATGTGGTTATTGTGTGTGATTTATTTCCAAAGGTAATTAAGTTGCTAGTGACTGTTTAAGAATCCCATGTATACAACTGCAGGATTGATTTCTTTCAAGTAAATGTAAAGCTTTATTTACAGTGGGAGGTGGCCAGTGACTGTCTGAGGATCCTATGTAAGCTCCTGAGGGAGTATGAGGTGGTGGGAAGTGACTTTGGGGAGGAGCTTGTTGAGGTACAGATGGGGGGCGTGGTGCCCGCTAACAAGTCCCCGGGGTACATCCTAATGCTACACCTACTGAAGGACTCCCACTTCCTGTCCACGGTGAGATTCACAGATTTTCCTGCTTAAATGGATACTTTATTGAGAATTTTTTTTAAATTGGGCTGGGAGGTGGAGACGTATGTGCTTTGTTTTGTTAAGAATTAAAGTTACATATTTTAGGTGTTGAAAATACTGGATGACATTGTCCGACAACTTGAAACATACAAGGCTATACCAGGTAAATAGTGAATAAAGAAATTTAGGTGTTTTTATTTGTGTTGTAAAGTGACTGTTTAAATTTGTTTGGTTGATTGAACTGGCTACTGTTAAATAGGTTAATTTGATTGGTTGGATGCATGGACTAGATAATGTTATGTGAGGTAATTTGATTGGTTGATATTACTGGCCAATGCTAGGGGAGTAGGAGAGTTAATTTGATTGGTTGATTGTATTGACTGATGCTAAGAGAGTTAATTTGATTGGTTGATTGTATTGACTGATGCTAAGAGAGTTAATGTGATTGGTTGATCTGTACAGGACAGGAAACCCTGGAATCTGCTTGTCTGCTGTTGATAGAGACGAGTCTGGAGAAGTCGGGGACGTTCCTGGACGCGTGTCGTGAGACGGGATTTAACATTTAATTAGAGTTAATGTGATTGGTTGATCTATACAGGACAGGAGTCCCTGGAGTCTGCCAGTTTGCTGTGTTTACAGCTGATAGAGACCAGTCTGGAGAAGTCGGGGACGTTCCTGGATGCGTGTCGTGAGACGGGAGCCTCCGCCATGGTGTCAGCCATGGATTGTCTTCTCCTGAGTACTAATCCACGCAGCGGGAAAGCTGACCACCTCATTAATGTCACAATGTAGGTCTATAAAAGTAACAAAAATAACAAGCAAAACATTTATTTTATTTGAATAATATGAAAGTTTTATTGCTTTTAGTCATTGAAGTCTTATAAAAGATAGAAAGTTGTAAGAAACATTAATTTTATCATCCTATATTGTGTGATCATGGTCACCATTGGTGTTTTATAATCTTGTAGGTTTATACACTTCAGCATTCCTCTTCCTGAGCATGCCCAGTCAGCGATGAAGATCCTGTATTGCGTGTGTCACTTGGCTCCCATCCTAGTGGCCCTTGTCAATCTGTTTACATTAAATCAGGTAACAGTATAATTTGATTAAGACACCAAGATGAACATTTTTTAAAGCTCTGAATTCTCCTTGAACTGAGAATTATTTCCAGTCTGGTTGACACTGAAAAAGATGCTACATAATACATTATTATACCTCTACTGTAATTACTCATAGATATAAAACTTATATACCATAAAACTGCCTATTTCCCCGAGAAGAGAATTTTTCACTCATCCGAGGACTACTCCCTGGAAAATCAGAGCTACTCCCTGGGACTACTCCCTCATGAATATTTATTAGTTATTTTAACCAATCAAAGTGTTCAGTGGGTGGAGTGTTCCAAGAAATCTCGAGTCTGTGACGTCATGTTACAGTATCAGCAATGTAACTATGACGTCAAAACATTTCGACATGCGATGTCAAAATCATACTTGAATTCTACCAAATGAAGATAAAGTTATATCTTCGAAATGTCAGTGAAAATACTTTTAAAAAATAATTTAATTGTTTTAGGACACGATTCATTACTTATCATACAATCTGTTTAACCGCATGCATTTGTAATTATGCCTCTATAGTGTTTTTTAAAAAAATGTCAAAATATCTGTTAAAAAAAAATATATTAATAAATCGCCTATGATAGTTTTGGTATAATAGAACAGTTATGGAATGTGAACTCAAGAAATAGCAAATTTATGGTTCCCCTCGGCAGGAAAGTATTTCCCTCGGCAGCAAATACACTCAAAGATACCAGAATCCTCACCAGCTTGTGTAAATTTAGTAATCCGTATGAGGGGTAAACTTGAGATTAGCACTTGAAGCTGAATCTCGGCGGCTTCGCCACCTCGGGAAATAGTTTCCTCCCTCGGGAACCATAAATTTGCTATTACCCCCAGTACCCATTCCATAACTGTATACTGTGTCTAGTTCCAGAATTAAATAAATGGGTACACTAGATTGTTATTAGGGTTCTTTAGAAATCTTATGCCATGTAATTCTTGGTTTACATTATTGTATCACACAAAATTCATTATTCCAGACCTCTCATCTGGAGCTGCTCCACGGATTTGTGGAATGTCTGGAAGTGGAGGAACCAGAACAAATGGTGGAGAAGACAATCCACTTACCTGAGGAGGAGGGTATGTTAAAATTGTGTGGAGAGAGAGAGATAGACAATCCACTTACCAGAGGAGGAGGGTATGTTAAAATTGTGTGGAGAGAGAGAGAAAGAGAGAGAGAGAGAGACAAGGGTATGTACTCAGTAGTGTGGAGAGAGAGAGAGAATTCACTTACCAGAGGGAGAGGGTATGTACTCAGTAGTGTGGAGAGAGAGAGAGAAAGAAAGAGAGAGAAAATCCACTTACCAGAGGGAAAGAGTATATACTGGATACAGGGAAATTTCCGCCCCCGTTTTATTTTCGTCCCTTTCGACATTGTCACAAATGGGCAAATTTAAACCAAAGCGAATTCGAAGAACACAATATAAATTCATAAACAAAACTTGGACTGGGCGAACTTTAAACGGGGCAAATTTGTAGGCAAGTATAAAAGGGCGAAAATAACACGGGGCGAAAATAACCCTGTATACAGTATATACTCAGTAGTGTGGAGAGAGAGAGAAAGAAAGAGAGAGAGAGAGAGAGAGAGAATCCACTTACCAGAGGGAGAGGGTATGTACTCAGTAGTGTGGAGAGAGAGAGAGAAAATCCACTTACCAGAGGGAGAGGGTATGTACTTAATAGTGTGGAGAGAGAGAGAGAATCAACTTACCAGAGGAAGAGGGTATGTACTCAGTAGTGTGGATAGAGAGAGAAAGAAAGAAAGAGATAGAGAGAAAATTCACTTACCAGAGGGAGAGGGTATGTACTCAGTTGTGTGGAGAGAGAGAGAGAAAGAGAGAGAGAGAGAATCCACTTACCAGAGGGAGAGGGTATGTGCTCAGTAGTGTGGAGAGAGAGAGAAAGAAAGAGAGAATCCACTTACCTGAGGAAGAGGGTAACTAGGGTCCCATAGAGAAGTGAAATTGGGGTGAGAATGATCTGATATACCAGAGGAAGACAGTATCTAGGGACTCAGTACAGAAGTGGAGAAACTAGGGTCTCAAAGAGAAGGTTGGGGGTGTATTGTTCAGAGAAAGATGATAATCAAAGTACTGAAAGTACTGATAGACGGAGGCTTGGAATGAACATGATTGTTTGTCTCTTTGGGAATTTTTTATTCATATTCTGACCCCAACATTTGCCTAAGGGTAGTTGGCCATATCTTCTGAAAAGTAGATACCAGGACATTATTACTTCATATATCTTTTTTTTGTGGAAAGACTTTTCATTGGATATTAACAAACTTGACCTTTTGACCTTGACCTTTGATATTCTATACAGTGTACTTATGAAAAAACTTTAACCTTGGCCATGAATTTTGAATGGTAAGGGACATATAAGGGGGGGGGGGCAACAGTGTTTCACAAACACATCTTCTTCATTTATATTATCGTGGTCTAATGTTTGATTATGTAATTTACTGAATTCCTATTTATCATCAACAGGACAAACCACTCTAATTGGAATAAACTATTATTAATTTCAATTCTTTAGTGACTCAGTGGTAAGAGCTTCCTGAAATATGAGAAAACCAAAAAGTACTCTAGTATCTCTAACTCTTCAGGACTAAAACGAGCCGAGATACAAGCATTCAGATATATCAATGCATAGATCTATATGCACATTCAACTTTTAATTAATAGTTCTGTTGTGTTGGGTATGAACATAAAGATCCAAATATTCCCAACATTATGAAAAATATTAAGCAGAACAAACGCCTGTTTGGGTGCAGATCTTGAAATGTACTAAGCTCTACAGGTATTTGTTGTCCAGTGCGCATTAGTCCTGACTTCCAAATTCTTACTTAACTGGTGATACCTTTAGAAACATTTGCATCTAGGTGAAGTTGACTCCGCAAAATATGCCATCCCATTGTTCAAGTTTTATAAAGTGATTACACCGCCTTGACTAAATATTGTAGATTCAACGATACCCTAATATCCAGTATTATACGCAATTTTACGGATAATGCCAATTTTCGTTGAAAATCCTTCCCGTTTCAGAGGCGGATCCAGCCACTCTTGAAAGAGGGGTTCCAGGGTTGTACTGTCCATATAACCCACCCCCCCTTCACACTCTCAAGCAAAGATTCACACACACGTATGGAAGATCTTAGGTTTCGGTAAATAATATCTGTTTACGTCCATTTATTTCTTTGGTCCCCCAGTCCGAATTTAAAGAAAAAAAAAAACTGCTGAAACCTTAATTAAAATTGAATGGATTTGTAGCATTTCCAAAGAGTACAAAGAATTTTCTTTTGGAGTTTGAAAAAAAAATCCGTGGTGGATGCAGGTTGGGTTTAAAACAAAGAGTTACATGTTAGTTCCTTCAAATGATATGATTAAAACGGTTCATATAATATAGAACCGTTTTAATCATATCATTTGAAAGAAAAGTGAGTGATAGAAAATTAATGTGTGAGAATCTATCTATTCAATACATAAGTTAGACGTACAAATAAATATATTTTTATTTATTCTCGGAAAACGTTTCATTCTCTCTCTCTCCACTAGACAGAAAATAAAGTGGGCTTCCAATTCCCGGACCCCCCCTCCCTTGGATCCACCAATGAACCGTTTACAAGCATTCACCCATCCTTGACACTTTTTCAATATCTCTCCAAGGTTTGGGAAATCTAATAAATTCAACTCCTTGCATATATTTTTTTGTGGGCATACTTTGAGTCACTATTGCAGATTCCATGACAACAGTGTTTTATTGCATCCTTTTTTGCACAGGTTAGCCATAATATTACTAAATTTACACCACAAAGTAAGATTCAAGCCACTGTTTTGGTTTTGGTCATATGCATGTAAACATAGAAACATGTGGGTCAGTTTGTCCCATCTAACTTCTGAAACATGTGATAAGGAATTCGAAAAAAAGATGCAGCAGAGCTATAAACAGACAAGCCGCAGCTCTCTGCTGAGTCAGTGGGTGAACATTTAAAATATGTCAGTTTCAATGAAACAATGATGCAGATTTCTTCTATCTAGGTAATGCAGGGTATTAATGTGATAGGACCTTCGCAAACTAATTAAAATCCCCCAGGTGAGGTGAAAGGTGTGAGATAATTATAGGTCCATGAGAAAAAAAAGAATTATGTAATGTATGTGGAAAATATTGTGACCGAATTAGATTAATTGCATCAAAAGCAGATGCAGAGAACTGCACTCGGTGATCTGTTTTGGTTTCCCCGACAATTTAAATTCTTGTCAGCGAGAGTTTTTATCAGCCAATGAGCGTGTAAGCAGCGGACTCTAAACATTACTGATCACCTGTCTGTATACAGCACATATCCGATATCAGACAGGCAGGCCAGTTTATCAAAGTTTAGCCTGGTTCCCTGTCCCTGTTTTGCTTCATGTACTCCTGCCTTGGAAAGGATGAGCCGGGGGACCAAGCTAATCAAAGTTAACGTGATTAGCCGCTAGATGGCGGTCGCAAATTCCCTTCCGCCGCAGCTGAGCGGTACCAATAGAGCGGAGGCTAAGCCTCCGTCTAAAAATTAAAACGAAGCAGACGAATTTTATATTACTCGATATAATGAATGTGCTGTAAATTTAGAATCGATTTATTGAAAAAAAAATTAATATGTGTTCTCGCTCGATTTCTTGCAAAAAAAACTTCAAAGTTTTACAATTTTTCAGCAAAAGTATTATATTTTCATCAAGACGTTATATTACATATGTACGTTGGTGCAACGTCATTATTT